TGAAAAAAAAAAAAAAAAAAAAAAAAAAAAAAAAAAAAAAAAAAATTTAAATAGTGGCATTGATCATGTAACTCGAGACTGTCAAATCACACAGGATAACATGGATAATCAGGTTTTGTCAAAGCTACAACACGCAATTTTTCTTCAGTTGTTTTTCATGATCAAAACAAACTTAAATTAACTAGGTCTGCTACAACTTATTGATGAAATTAATATTAACAAGCAGCCATCAGAAACAGAAAGTTGTGCTGTTTTTTTTTTGTCTGTTTTCGAAAGTTAAGTAATATAAATATGTAAGTCATAATAATGAGAAACTTTGTATGCATCCCATAAAAATCAGATAGTTTCTCATAATAAGATACTTTCTCATAATAGCTTATATCTCATAATGAGACACTTTCTTTTAATAATGCGATACTTTTATATAATAATCGGATGCTTTCTCAAAATAATCAGATACGTTCTCATAATGAGATAAAAATGATCTCATTGTTACAAAAAAGTATCTTTATTATGAGATATTAAGTCATTGCGAGAACATTTCTCATGAGAGGTTAAGTTGTTTTTATAAGTAGGTATTATGAGAAAGTATCTCATTATTACAAGAAATTGTCTCATTATGAGACATTGAGTCATAACTACAAGAAAGTATCTTATGAAAAATGGTCTCATTATTTCATGAAAGTATCATTATATGAGATATTAAGGCATTATTACGAGAACATTTCTCATTATGAGATGCAACAATGCAATATTTTCTCATAATTACAGTATGTCTCACAATAATGTTAACATTTTGAAGCAGATACCAGGCAAACAACAAAATGTCCTATAACATAATACACTCAGTGTGGCGGTTAGGAAACTAACTTAGACAGAAGAGACTTTACTGCTCAGCACATAAAGATGAACTACTTACTGTGATTTCAGACAGTTTTTAGTATGAAAGAATAAAGAAGAGAACTGAACGAACCTCTCCTCACATGGATCACGCTGATCTGGTTTCTCCACTGCATGGATCCTCTTGTGTCGCTTCAGGTTGTGTTTAACAGTGAAACTCTTTCCGCACTGATCACACGTGTGTGGTTTCTCTCTGCTGTGGATCCTCTCGTGTGATTTCAGATGTGTTGCCTGACTGAATCTCTTGTCACAGTGTGAACACTTATAAGGTTTTTCTCCAGTGTGGATCATCTGATGCAGTTTTAAATAGTTCGCTTTTGTAAAAGTCTTGTCACACTCAAAGCACATGTAGTCTCTCACATCATTATGTGTTTTCTGATGTTCTTTCAGATGATGCAGCAGTGAAAAACTCTTTCCACACAAAGAACATGAATGCGGCTTCTCCTTTGTATGAACTGTCAGGTGTGTCTTCAGGCATGAAGCCCACAGAAACGTTTTGCCGCATTGATCACATGTGTAAGGTTTCTCTCTTGTGTGAATCCTCATGTGAAGAGGAAGGTATGATGAATGTGTGAAACTCTTCCCGCACTGATCGCATGCATACGGCCTTTCTCCCGTGTGGATCCTCATGTGCCCCGTAAGATGTTGTTTCTGTGTGATGCTCTTCCCGCACTGATCGCATGTGAACGGTTTCTCTCCAGAATGAACTCTCAAGTGAACATTAAGACTGTGTTTGTGTGTGAAACTCTTCTCACACTGATCACATCCATATGACTTCTCTCCTGTGTGGTTCCTCATGTGTCCTTGAAAGTGTGCTTTCTGTGTGAAGCTCTTCCCGCACTGATCGCATGTGAACGGTTTCTCTCCGGTGTGGATTCTCATGTGAACATCAAGATTACGTTTGCTTGTCAAAGTCTTTCCACACTGAGTGCAGCTGAAAGATTTCTTTAAAAATGTCTTTTTAGAGTTTGAGCGACTCAAGGGTTTTTCTCCAGGTTTGTCATGATGTTTCTCCTCCACTTCACTCAGTTCTTCACTCTCCTCGCTCTCTTCCATCAGCTCTGAGTTGAAAGAAAAAAAGCTTACATTTAATATCAGTACATCAAAATAATTCAAAGAAAGAAATATGAAGTGAAGGGACATAAAAGTGAGCGCTGATGTAACTGCTATAAAATTTTATGATGATTTTGATGCCTTTTAATAATTAATTATACGTCCCTGAAACTTTCCATGAATGAGGTACATTGATTTTCCAGTTATTTTTAAAACATTATAAGCAGTGTGCAAATTATTAGGTATCCATGTTATCACCATCTCGAATTTAGGTTGAAAAACGAATTGATTATTGCTCATTTATATATTAATATAAGTAGATATTTGATAACTCTGTTTAACTCTTTGCTTTATATTTTACTTGTTCATTTAGATTCCAGTGTCGATTAGTCTCTCACGCCGGCCATTAACAAGGATCTCACGGTCACAAACTATGATTATTAGTCTGATGTTATGACTAATACTATTTAATAAACAATATTCATTTAAATAGCAGTTCCATATAACAACTCTTGTTTGCTATTATTTCATTAAATCTTCTCAATCCATTGTCTCAGTTTTTAAACAAACTGTACAGTGTTGATCAGAGAATAATCTCTTTAACTATGAATAACTGCTATAATTTATGAGAAATACAACTTCATCAGTAATTATGAATCAGATTTTGCTTAAGTCATTACTTGATACATTTTGGTGTGTACTATTTATTGATAAAAAAAAACTATGCTGAGAAATGTATTAAAATGTGGTTAAAATGATTGCAAAAATTGTGCTAAAGTAATATTTAGTTTGACCTGATGTTGACAATGAATATTAAAGATTCTGAAACCTCCCTTTGACTATTTGTTGAAAACCAAAAATAAAGAAAAAATCTACCCATTTCATGTTTGAACTATTGACCTAAATCTGAATTATTTAAGTTCTTCTGCATCATGAATGAATGAGAAATGAAGAATAAACACCAACCTGTTAGTTCTTCAGTATCTTCAGTGTGTTTGATTCTGCAGGGTTCTGGATCTCTCATCTTCTCTCTGTCCTCTTTAATAAACTCAGTCTTTGATCAGATCTCAGCTCTTCCTGATGCTTTGATGCTCGTCTGCACTTGTAAACTGATGGGAATATTCCAGCATTTATTGCTGAACTGCTGGGGGCGGAGCTTCACTAGTGATGTGCTTGATGTGGGAGGAGCTTCACTAGTGATGTGCTTGATGTGGGCGGAGCTTCACTAGTGATGTGCTTGATGTGGGAGGAGCTTCATTTAAGGTAAATTGCAGCATGGGAGGAGCTGATCTGCCAAAAATAACAAAAATATATCGCTTACTGAGATCACTTTCACAACACAATATAAATAATGTTACTATTGTATTATGTATTGTAAATAACTTTTTTTCTCCCTTTTCAAATCTCATATCACATTGGAAAGGCATTTCTTTTCAATAAAAATGAAGGAAATAATCGAAAAGTTGAAAATAAAGTGTTGGGTAGCTGTAGGGAGGGCTTTATTGTCCCAACAAGCTGGCATCCATTTAATAATTTGAATTAAATCTAATTTACACTCAATACGTTATTATTGATACTGTTTTATAATGTACTACAATACTGAGGTGCAGATAATTGCCACTATTTGCAACAAGTAGTAGAAATAGCAGAACATCCTGCTATTTATATTTTATAACATAGTAGAATCTATAGCTATTTGCACTTAGTGTAAATAGCTTATCGCTAAGAAAATACTGCTATTTACACTAAGTGCAAATAACCGCTATGCCCCCCCCCCCCAAAAATAATGGTAATAAAAACAGTTAAAAACATAAAAAATGAAATACAAAATAAAAATGAAAACAAATACCATCAGTCTGTTAACACCAATGAAATGAGCTTTAAGTGGCAATTTACAAGAGATCTGAAGACATCGGCATAATAAACGAGGACTATTGAGATGAAATAAAGAGTCTTTCAGCAGCTCTGTTAATATTGATGAGCCTCAGATCAACACTCATTCAACAAGACATTCAGGATCATCAGCAGATCATCTCACTTTATTCTGAGTGTTTAGAAACAGTTTATTTGAGTCAGGACGACAAAAGTCTATAAAAGTGTTGGACTGAAAGAAAACACTAATGACACACAGGTAAATAACATTCCTACAACAGCACAGCCGAACATGTCCATATTAATTTTAACAACGTTTGGTTTACTAATAACTACATTAATTGCAATAGAGTAGGGTAATTAGATCATTAACATTTTACAGGTTTTTCTACGGAAACTAACATTGATCATAAAACTTTTAAAAATAAAGAGCACCAGCAATATTTAATGTTCCCTGAGTCAAACTTCATTAATATTTATCTATATTCACATTTATGAATAGATTTGAAATTGCCCATGTTCATTATTTATTACAGGGACAATAAAGTGTTTAGAAATATATTTCAGTTTTAACAAGTAAATACAATCTGCCCAAGATAAATGTCAAAGGAGAAATTAAGGTAATGAAAACACACAGCAGCAACTCTTGAGATTCCCATAAATTCCCCTCACTGATCTCAAACCTACGGAAGGCCTAAGAGGCCATGGATTATTAATATTTTTCTTCCTTGTTTTCTCGTGATTTCGACATAACCAAAGTGTTTGATTGTTTGATCTACTGTTGCTATAGTAACGAATGCAACTTTGACTGTGCATCTGATCATATTATATTTCAGCAAATTTTGCTTCGCTTTTTAATAACGTCTACAATACATAAATAAAGTCTTATCAATTTGTTGATTGTTTCTCCCCAGAGACAGTACGCTAAACATTTGTTTGTGTAATTAACATGTTTAAATGGTCAAAGCAACACCGCAAATAAAGATATAGCTACAAACAGAATACAGTGAGGTCAGCTTTGGTTTTAATAAGCAGTTATAATTATCACACAGAACTCTGAAACTGTGATGAGTCATGCAGTAAGAACTTAACCATACACAAAATAATCATATTGATTCAAGCACTTAACATTTATGTTGGTGACGTCCCAGTCAGCAAATTTCCTTTGGTTCGGATCTGACCCAAACCCTAACAGCTAGAGTGTGGCCCAGATTAGTACGTGTTTGCTGACCCAGAACTGGTCCACACCTTTTAGCCAGAACTGAACCAAAACAGTGCCATAACCCAACCTGAAGTAAGCCAAATCATTAAAAAAAAAAAGATGTGGCTGATATATGAACCTTATGTTATTCTTGTATGTCTTTGGATACACCAAAAGCCATTATTTAACCATATTTACACCACACCTATTTTTTAATTTAAAATACCCATTACGCAGATAATCTTAAACACAAAAATTGATTCACAGTCTTTTTTTTTATTTTATTTTAATTTTAATAACAGAAGTACAATACAGAACATAACAGAAGTGTGCCTTGTTGTAAATGAGTGAATAAATGCACAATAATTGATACTTTTAGTAAGTCTCACCAGTCTTTCTCACTCACAGTCTGTCAGGAAAAAGAAGAGAAAAAAGAACATTATACAATAATTAGCATCATATATTAGATTATTTGAATATTACACATATTATTAACGACTGCAGATCAGCACTGCACACATTCTCTTTTTCTACCATCCAAGACACGAGTGCTGCTGTGTAGCCCTTTTTACATGAAGAAAGCTTCAGCTACTCTATAACAGGCTATTTTTAGACATAATATTTAATAATATACATAATAATAATGAAAACATTAGGGGTGTAATGGTACACAAAAATGATGGTTCAGTGCCTCAGTTATGAAGACATTGATACATTTTTGTTACAGCAGGGGGAGAAAACATAAAATTGCTACTTTTTTAAATTAATTTTTTTAACGGCTTAAAGGCTCTGTCTTTAAATTAATTCAATTATAATTAAAATGTTCTTAAGGATAAAAAATCTATGTCAGCTAAAGCTATAAAACAGGAAGCCCTATTACTTGCACATTACAAAAACATTTAAAGGTTACAATTAACAACAGAGCTCAAACTATTAAATTAAATTTCTATTTATGTTTAGATACAATAATCAACACTCGAAAAAGTATGCAAACGTAAATTGCACAGGCAGTTTTTACAAAATATCTAAATCTAATTATAAAATGATGTTTCTACTTTGTTTTCATGACACATTTAAATGTACATGTACACTAATTAAATGTACACTAATTAAAACATCACTAACAGGTTAAATAAATATATAATGAACATAGGCTAATATAGTGCAAATATTTAGCGACATGCTCTTCTCCAGAGTTCATTCATTTTTCTAGCAAAGTAACAAGCTGTGGACACTCAATGACTTGCTTGAGGTAAAGGTAATGCTGCTTCGTGACATGTTGTTTACAAGCTGTTTTTATTGGCATTTTTCTGCGGTTGCAAAACTGATTGAGAGATTACGTGAGACATGAGATATTCATTTGTGTTTATTTAGCATTATAGTAGAAAGAAGAAAAGAGAAAGGGACGATCGCATTCACTCGCTCTGCGCGCTGCAGCTTGTAGGCCGAAGACGTTTGTTAACTGATGTTAAATAGATGTTTAGAAAATGTCTTGAAGATGTTTATGATTTAGAATGCATGTAAATCTGCTTTTTCTAAGACGTTTATCAGATGTTTCCCAGATCAAGCGCTCTGTTTTATGATCTTACTTAAATTAGGTTTTTGGTTTTAATGCCAAAACGAATGTAAAATGATGGTATTTGGGAAAGGTTTATGGAGCCAGAAATATGACAAAACAATTTGAATGTGAATTGTGTAAATCTGAATTATTGTGTGATTTAACAAAACTGAATATTATGTGGCATTTTATAGTTTACATTTTTTATTTTTGAATGGTTTAGTTTAATTTCTTTGAATAATTTAATTATGTTTGTGCACACATACCAGGCATAGGTCAAAACATTGACAAATTTGGCTGAATTGTAAAAGCCAGAGGTGGTACTAAATAAAGAGCCGGTTCTTTTTGCTGAGCTGAGCCAAATGATCCGGATCCCTGAAAAAGAGCCGGAATTCCCATCACTAGAATCCTCCGAGAGCAGCGTTTCCAGCTTTCAGACGCAGCCGGTGAGCTCAAGAGATGTTTCCCAATTACTGGCCGTTTTTAACTATCCAATCAGAAAAGCACGGAGGCCATGTGTTATTATTTTCTTTCTACTTTCTCCAGTTTCCAGCTATTGTTTATATCTAGATCAGGAGAGACCATGAGAGATCACAGAAAGCTCAGTGAGGACGTCAGCCAGACGTGTGTCCTCGTGCCTCTGCTTTTCTCAGCTCACTTTCTGAAGTCACTTCACTTTGAACTAAAATCAGGATTCTGCTGACTCTACATAAATGTTAGACACAGTGTCTGAACTGATTCTGCTCAGGTGTTTCTACACTCGCCAGATTGATGTTTCCATCACATCGGCTCAATGTCTCCATCAGCTGGTGTTTATCTTTGGACTGAAGAAGCTTCTGGAGGATATCAGCAGGATCTTCACTCATTCCTGAAGACAACACTTCCAGATGCAGGTATAGATGTAGGAGTACGGCGTCGACACACGTGAGCTTGTTCTGCAGGAGAACATCCTTCAGTGTCTCTCCTGAACGCGGAGTTTCTCAAAAGATCTCCAGTGTGGAGCAGCATCTCTTTCACATGATCGACGCTCTGCTGCGGCGCTCAGACCTGCTGGTGAAGGATGAAGCTTTATTCTTGAAGCTCTGGAGAGATTATTCGAGACTAAGCTGATGAATTCAGAACAACAGAATCTCATTCGCTTCCTCTTGATCCCAGTGAAATACAGTTTCTCTCAGTGATCAGTGTTACGCGTGAAATGATAATATTAACTTGGAACTTGATTTTGTCCTTTATTCCACTAGTGCAGAACTCACACCGTACACATTTTGGTAGTTGTTGTTGTTTACTTGTAGTTTAGAATTCTTGTACATTTATATGTGCATACGTGCGCGGTCAAACTGTAAACACAAAACAGTTCAAAATTAATATTTAGCAATGTTTCACATATCACATT